CTTTCCTTTTCATTATATTTAATAATTCTCTTAAAGACAATGTAAATTGTTAAGAAAATTGTTTTCTTTTAGTGCCTTCTGTAATGTTACATAATTTTTTCTTTAGCCATTATTGCCAGAATTCCTATTTTCATCCCAGTGCTGGTGAAGTCAAAGATAAAACCAATCTACAGCTTCTACAATAGCCATCACTGAACTGCTTGCAGAACTTGCCTGGACACATTGTGAGCTCACCTGTATGCATTGTGAACTATCTGTTGGTGCAGCGACTTATGGTAGTGTTGGGGTATTTTTGCTGATGATGTCACCGGTGGTACAATTTTTCAAAGGAGCCCTCAATTGGCTTAATGTCATGGCATTTTGCATCCTCCTCTACTAGTGATGGTCTAAAATTTGGGGGCCAACAGAGGTGAGGCAAAGAACCTCACCCCCCCACAGGTGCAAAGGCCTATCCACAAGTATGGCTGTATGCTGGACCGGTAGTCAGTGACGGGTATGATCCAATTGCAGTGGTACCAACCTAAGACAGGAGGCTGACGCCTAGAGGTCAGTTCATCCGATGACGGGTAAGGACCATATGTTGAATTGGACTGCCTAACAGGCACGGTCCCTAAGCCACATGCTTGTTGTTTAAACAGAGAGGGGGAGATGTTGAGAGCCACAGCCTGAGGGGCCCCAGCAAACTTCCAGCTGCCAGCAAACTTCCAGCTGCCGGCTGATGATTGGCTCACAGCAGCCCCAGCAACATCTAGCTGATTGGCTCCTCAGCCCCAGCAACATCTAGCTGATTGGCTCCTCTGCAGTGATGCTCATTGGACTGTTTCCCTGCCCTTTCAGACCACGGAGCTGCTCATTGGGGGACTTTTTTGGCTCCGCCCACGTGACCCAGCCAATCGGCCTCAAGAGCAGGAGGATTGTGGGAGGTGGGGAGAAGCTTGGGTGGGAGAGAGAGGCTTGTGGAAAGCCGGTGGTGGCAGTTGAGGCTCTGAGGGTTTTTCCTGAGAGACTATTTTGTTTGTCGTGTGTGGTTCTAAAAATAAAGTTAGTTTCTTTTGACAAGTGGCTCCTGATTGTGCCCAGCCAGACTGCGGCAGAGTATAAAAACACCTTTCAATCGGCATGACAAAGAATTCCCATCCAATAAGAAGATAACTCTGGTAAAGAAAGTCAATTCATAAATCAGTTCACAGACCCCTCAGGCTGGGCACCAGACCTGCAGCATCTCCCTCTGAGGACCCTTCTCTCTAAAGCCCAGTGGGGTTCCAACACCAGCTTCAGCTTAAGTGAGTGCAGTCCCCCAAAGTGCTGGGAGAGTTTAGATCCTCTAACTCCAAGTTCAGGAAAAACTTCACCCAAAGACCTGAGCTGTGGCTTCCCAATCAGCTTCTCCAATCGCCTGCAAGTGCACTCAGTCCTACCAGCTAGCCAGCTCCCAGCCAGCACCCCAAATCCCAGAACCAAAAATAAGCAAAGAGCAAAAGGAAGTAAGATGGACTGTGTTCATTCATCACTGTCAGAGTCACAACAGACCCTTGTCAGACAAGCGTGGTGGCCCCGTCCCTGAACAAATGCTCTCCAGATGGCCACCGGCTGGCCACCGTGAATCATGCAGGCATGCCTGGGAATGACATCCACATGGATCTGTAGCACCCAGGGATAAATGTGGCGATGCCTTCCAGCCAGGTGTCATTTTTCACTAGCCTCCCTCTCCACGATGGACCAAGAAATAATTCCAAGGGGGAAAAGCTCCCACATTCTTCAATTAGTCTTTTTGCTGGTTTGAACTGGAAACCTCAGAGGGAATCTTTGCCCCATGGATTTGGCATGTGGTTTATAAATAAGTGAGAATTTCAGCAGCGTTCAGGAAACATTTATAACATTTCATAATGCTAAGAAATTACTGGCCCCACAGGAACACTAACCTACACCCCCCAAAGGTCATGTGGCTTCTCCATTCATGGACTGTCTTCAATCACAGTTTATCAACTATCAACATATTAATTCAACACTGTGTGAGTCAGGATCCTGTATGTTGAACGACACAGATCCAACTCAAATTAGCTTTAGAAACTAATTGGCCCCCATACTTGAAAAGTGCAGGTAGATCTACTTCATAGCTTGAATCATCTGGATGGTCCTGGGCCCTTGGTCTTCTGTTGGTCTTGGTCTCAGGTTGGCTGTTCTAGGAAGGACACAGATGATCACAAGCTCTCTGAACTTTTGTCCCACCAGCAGCACAGTTCCCAGATTTCCTAGCAAAGGACGCTGGTCCCTGTTGGTTATGAGCTCACCCTGCACGGTGAGCAACTCAGGTATGTTCACCTCCCTCCTGGGGTGGGGACAGCCCTGCTCAGTTCTCCCAGGCTGGGCGGGGGAGGAAGAGATGGACTCCTGGACCAGCCGGAGGTATGTGTGTGGGCAGAAAATAGCAGACACCTCTTCCAAGTAGCGACTCAAATTTTCCCTTTCAGAAGAAACATTTAAATATCGTTAGATTAATTTTGTCTATGCTATGTAAATTTTACTTTATTATATTTTGGGATTTTTTGGAGTGTGGATTTGGCATGTGGTTTATAAATAAGTGAGCAATAATCATCCCTGGATAACTGGCTTGGGAGCTGTCCCGGCCTGGGGTGCATCCCAGGGTGGGATCAATTCTGTAGACTGCGTGAAATTTGGGAGCCTGTTATTCTTCAGGGCGGGGACACTGATGAGAACAGACTGTCCCCAGCGCACTGCCAGGAGCATCACAATGCAGAAAGAACCCCACCAGGAAAGAGCCTTTTTTCAAATAACTTCAAGGGAAGGCTCTGGGAATGTCAGTGTGTCCCCAAAAATCCCGCTGCAGGAAACCACTCAGCCAGGGGCTGGAACCCCTGCTCCAGAGTGAGGTCCTCCCAAAAGTGCGTCCGAGGTGGCTCACCTCTAGGGAAAGGGCCCAGGGCAGCTCGGGAGAGCCCTGGGAATGCAGTGTACACCAGGTGGCTGACCAACATATTCACAAAGCCACACACATTCATTCTGCTTGGCCTCACATGGGAGAAAGTGCAGTTTCCAGCCCAGGGGGCTGTTCCCATCCACCCCTCATCTCCCTCTGGGGACCAGGGCTTGGTGGGCAGCCTGGCAGACCCCCTGCCTGCATTCCCAATCCCTGCAGCCCATGCAACTGGATTGAGAGGCACCCTCCTCCTCCAGCTTGGCTGCCCTTCCAGCTCCCGAGGCACACCGGTGTCCCTCCTTTGAGGGTTGCCCAAAGTGAATAGAAAATGTCACAATTCCCACACCCTCAGGGAGGAGGAAAGAGGAAGACAATGCAGGAAGGTAATAAAGACACATGCTGAAGCAGAGATGAAACAGTTCATTTCCCCCAGGAATGTTGTGCTTAGAAAGTGCCAGAAATCAGAGAGAATGGGCTCCAAGCCCCATGACCTCAGGGCCTATAACTGCGCCTCCCGGGGCCTTGGACACCTAATAAATATGTGGGGCAATGATGCGGCCCTCAGAGTTCACGGGGCTGGAGTGAGGCTCAATGGCTTCGTTTTTCCTTCCTTCATTCATAAGCAGTTGAGTGGGCACAGCTCCAGATGGGAGCGAGATCCACACATGGCAACGTGCCGGCCAAATAGGAGGTGCATTGTGTCTGAGAGCGTAGACTCCACACAGAAAACCCCCGAGACTGCACCCCTCACACCTACATGGGCTCAGGCTCCCTGCAGGCCTGGCAGCTGCGATTGTCATCTTCGTGTCTCTGGCATGGGGTTGAGCGGCGGGGCTGGGGGAAAGCCCCCCCTTGACAAGCTGCCTGCTCAGTGCCCCTCACTGGGAAGAGAAAGGGAATCCAGTTCTTGCTCTCTATTGAGTCATGGGGCAAGAAACCAAACTGAAATTCTTCAAAGAGTTGAAAACACTTCTCAAATAAGCGGTGAAAGGACAGTGAAGGCCACCTCTGTGCTCCTCAGAAGCCACTGGCACAAGGCATTTTAAGTGGAAAGAGGAACAGGGGGCCATGCACGCGCCCTGCACACACCCAGCTCAAGTGCTGGGGGAGGTGGGAACCAGCACCCAAGGTCAGGTGACGAGTGCAGAGTGGGTGCAGGCCCCCTCCAGGACAGTCCCTTCCCTGTCAACAGGCCCAGCACCCCCATGATAACCCACCTGAGAGGATTCTGTACACCATGACATAGCACTGAGAACCAGGCCTGTGGCTGTGAAGCCGTCCACACGGGCGCAGCTCAGTGGTAGAGCACTTACCAGGTGTGCAAGGCCCAGGGTTCCATCCCCCAGAGTGAGGCGGGTGGGAAGAATCCTAAGTAAATTCTAAGTATTTGGATTGTTTGGTTAAATTATCTAGTTGCACAGGATTAATTCTTTAAAATCGTCGTTTGTCTTGTCTTTGCAGAAGAAAAAAAAAAAAGTCAAATTTCTGCACACCATATACCATGGGTCAGAGGAAAGGCAGCCAATCAGGGGAAATGGGTTCTGCCCTGGGTGAACTCACAGGCTCCACACTGGGGCCAGGCGCGGCCCACTCTTCCCAAGCCTGTCTCCTATGGCCCAGGGGGACCTTCTCTGCCATCAAATCCTGAGTTGGCCCTAGCCCAGGTGGAAGTTCCTACTATGGTTCTGGGTGTGAAATCTGGGTGTGAGTGTGTAGACGGGGCTAGTGTTTGTTCCAGAACCCCTTTCATATCACTGCAAACACCCCAGGTGTTCAGGAACACTGACCTGTGGAGAACCCAGAAGGCAGAAAGGAAGGAGGGTTGGGTCCTTCCTCAATGGGCAAACAGCTCCAGACATTCTGACATCTGTCTAAACATCCTCTAAATGAACCATTTTGGTGAGATGACTTGGACAGAAATAGGGACCAGGGGCTCTCAGATGCAGGATCCTCATGATATACTTTAACATTGGGATTCGTTTCCATAATGTTGGCTACTCAAATTTTTTGACCCTGGTGAAATTCACAATGTATTGAATACAAAATAAAGGAGATTTGAAACTAGCACAAATATAATCTTGTTTTTTTCCCCAGAATGTTCTTGACTCACCCTAAAACTGTGTCATATAATTTGCAATACAAACACACCAGTCAGTCCAATTGAACACATTCTTTGTGTTTCCCACAATGACTCAGTTTATAAAAAGTTAGCAGTCAGTTAGGACCTAGCAATTCCACTCCTATAGACCCAGAAGAATCCAAAACAGGGACTCAGATATTTGCACACCCCTGTTCATAGCTGCATAATCCACAAAAGATGAACACAACCCAGGATCAAACAGATAAGCAGATGATCAAAATGTGGTCATTATCTGGGCACAGCGGTAATCCCAGCTACTCCAGAGGACAAGGCAGGAGGATCCCAAGTTCAAGGCCAGCCTGGGCAACTTAGCAAGACTCTGTCTCAAAATAAAAATAAAGTAGCCTGGGATGTAGCTCAGTGGTAGAACATGTATGGCATGTATGAGCTCCTGGGTTTAATCCCCAGTACTGTGAAAAATGATAATAAATGTGGTCTATCACACAACAGAGCATTTTGTTATTTGGCTTCAAGAAGGAAAGACATTCTGACGTGTGCTACAACACAATGAACTTTGAGGATATGATGGAAAGTGAAATCAGTCAGTCACAAAAGGACAAAAGCTGTAGGAGTCCACCTCTCTGAAGTCCCTGGAGTTGTCCAATCCCTATAGACAGGAAGGAGATGGTGGGAGCCAAGACCTGGGGGTGGGGGCCGGGGAAGGCAGTGTTGACCAGGGACGGTCATTAGGCTGGGAATATGAGTCTGTGGGCAGCACAAGTGAATGTGCTTAAAAATAGTTGAAATGATGGATTTTACGTGATGTGAATTTTATCAAATGAAAACAATTGTAAGAAAAGAGCCGATGGTCCCTGCCACACTTTCCAGGGCCACTTGCTTTTGCCTCTCCCACACGGGAGGGTAGAGTGGCAGGCCTGAGGGGTCCTCCTATGCACAGTGGACCTGCTGGCACCCCAGAACACAGGGCGCAGTGAACGAGGTAGCTCTGGATCCTCCTGCCCTGTTCCTAACCGACACAGAGAGGAAAAGGTGCTGCCCTTCTCGCAGGCTCTGTGCTCCCGTCCCCAGGGTTTGCAGGCTGGTGACCTCAGGCTGCACCTTTGCCCATTGGTCAGCTCCGCTGGGTCCAGCCCCCTCTCTGTGGGCAGCTGTAGTGGCCTCTTGACCTGCCTCCCTGCCTCTCAGGACCCCCTCTGCCTTCACTCCCCTTACCCACATAGCACTGGCCTTCCCAAAGCACCCAACTTCCTCTGTCCAAAACCTCAATATTTGTGGCAGCCGTCTACCAATGAAACCTCGGCTCCTGGCCTGACGGTCAAGAAGCAGACGACACACTGGACCACCTGTCCCCTAGAGCACCTGTGACCCCATCCCATCCTGGCAGGGTGGTGGCCATGTGACAGGCCCTGGGGTCAGAACTGGACCCACATCCTGTTTCTTTTTTCTTTTCTTTTTGTGGCACAAAGGATTGAACCTGGGGGCTCTTTACTTCTGAGCCTCGCCCAGTTGCTGGGCTGGCCTCAAACTTGTGATCTTCCTGCCTCAGCCTCCTGTGTCACTGGGGTTATAGGTGTGCACCACCCACCATGGCTGGCTCCACCTCTTTCCTCCCTAGAGAAATATGCCAAGGATATGCGGGTGTCAGAGCAGAGATGAGGCAATGTGTGGTCCACACTTCACTGTAGAGCTTGCGCCACCCTCTCTATTCCCCTGATAAGCCCCACATTTCCTGATGCTCTGCGCTCCACCTCAAGAGTCAAAACCTCACTCTCTGACAGGCCTGGCCCAAGTGCACCTTCTGCAGGAAGCCTTGTGCTCCTCTGTGCACTGTCCCCAAAGGGGATCAACTTTTGGCCTGGCAGCAGAAGATTCCCACCTCACCACAAGGCTTGAAGGCACAGTTAGTGGCTGACTCGTCCATAGGCATGGTGCCCTGCTTACCAGGCACCAGAGACAACTCTGTGTGAGCAGGGTACCCAGCAGGTGCCAACATGGGGCTACTCAGAAGTTGCCTAGCACTGGACTCCTTGCCACATCTGCTGCCAACTGTTTAAAAAGAAAAGATGCTTCTAAAGGAAGCTGGGTGACACTGTGGAGGCAGAGCCGAGGGCACCCAGCAGCCACAACCTCCAAGGATCCCGTCCCTCTGGGCCTAGGCAGATGCGGATGGTGCCCCACTGAGCAGTGCCAGCTCTCCAGGGACTGGGAGGCAATGACCAATCCACAGATGGAAGGAAGAGACCAATGTGCTGCTGCAGCACAAACCCAGATGCCAGCGCTGTGGGTCACAAGCTGAAACTGCCCAGGAGCGTGAGCCGGATGCTGAACAGGCCTCCTCGTGCAGCTCTCTGGGTCCCTCAGAGTCAGGCACGTCCCTGAGGGTGAAGAGCACTGGAGCTAAGGCTCCCAGGCTGGAAGACGGTGGTACCTGAGCTCTCCTCAGTATTACTGGACACCAAGAAAACATGTCCCAGGGACAACCTCCAGTGCACACCATCCCTGCTGGCTGCAAACCCTAACAGCCACGACTGGACTTGGGTTAAAGGGAGGGCTGCAGTGAGAAGGGCTTTCCTCTGTGACTCTGACGCCAAGACAGTTTACCCATGACCCGATCTCAACAGAAAGTCTGAAAGATCTGGCTGCTCAAACACATCACTTAGTAAAAGGCTTTCACCCTGGACGGATTTGTCTGCTGCCCTTCTACAAAAACAGGCAAGGCCTGTGCTATAGTATGGGAGTGGGTGTGTTGACCGGGGTCCAGGTGTTGGGTTTGGTCAGGTAGGTCCAGGTGAGGGAGGTCTTTAGGTTGAGTGGGTGAAACCTCAGATGAGGCTGTGATCCTGTTGGGCTCTGGCCTCCTGTCTGCTGATATGATCTCTGCCTTTCACACACAGTCCCATCACTGCCACCTGCCCTGAGATCCTCACCAGAGCCAAGCTGATGCCAGCACCAGGCCCTTGAACCTATAAACTGAGAGGCAACAAACCTCTTTTATTTATGAAATTACCTGGCCTTGGAGATTTTGTTATAGTGACAAAAACCTGACTTAAACAGCCCAACTTCAAGCCACGCTTTACTCCAGCTTCCTCCCACTTTCATATTAAATATCTGAAATATATTAATCTTACAAAACAGTATTAACAGTGCTCAATGAATACAGGCTGTGGAGTAAACAATGAGTCCGGATTGTAAAACCATGGGTTATTTAAAAAAAAACTGGAGTGTGTGTGCTGCGGACCAGATTCCCCGCGGTCTCCCCCGCGGTCTCCCCAGGGGAGCGCGTGGCATTTCCGACTGCATCAAACTGGGAGGAAAACCCGGGACAGCCCTGTCCTCGGGAGACGCCCGACCCTTGCTCAGTTTGAAGGAGCTGAAGGAGCGCGCGTTTAGGCAGACGCTCAGTCTCTGAGCAGGTTTTCGGGCTTGGGGTAGCCGAAGAGCACAAAGTCGGCCTCGTAGAGTTTGTAGAGCTGCTGCCTCCAGGCCAGGGGGATCTTGGCAAACCAGTCCTCCTCCCAGCTGCTGGCAGTTCTGTTCCGGTAACTCGGGGGGAAGTGGAGCCGCGTGTCCACCTTGAGGAGCCTCAGGAGCTGGGCGGCGTCCTCGTCCAGGGTCTCCAGCTTCCCCACGAAGTCGTAGTCTATCTGGCACGGGTGGCACAGGCGGTACACCTGCCGCCAGTGCTCGTTGAAGGGCGCCAGCTTCTCGGTGTGGGGGTCCAGCAGGTACTGGATGAAGTTGGCGAAGGACACCTTGAGGCCGGCGCTGAAGGCCTCGCTGACCGAGGCGGGCAGGCTGGTGTGGTTGGCGTACAGCCTCAGCATGGGCACCGCGAACTTGCGGTAGAACTCGTCGTTCTCCAGCTCGAACTTGCTGCGGAAGGCCGAGATGAGGCGCACGAAGGGGTCGCGCACGAACAGGAACTTGGTGTACTTCTTCAGCTTGATCTTCATGAGGTGGCGGGAGAACTTGCCGTAGCGGCGCCAGAACTTGTTGAAGGTCAGGTGGGTGCTGGAGTTGTGCACGTGCTCGCGCGGGATGTCCAGCGGGTCGCGGTAGGGCGCGCCGCCGTCCAGCAGGCTCTCGCTCAGCACGATCATCACGCGCTTCCAGTTGGTGCAGGCCACCTTGGGCACGTAGCAGTAGATGATCCCGTGGCGGTCGTCCACGATGAGGTGGTTCAGCTCGTAGTTGGGGATGTCGTCGAAGGAGCGCTCCTTGGTGGGGAAGGCCAGGCTGGAGTTGGCGCAGAAGTCCCGCAGCACACTCCTCCTCTCGGCCTGCTGCTGGCCCTGGTCGGTGCTCTGCTGGGCGTCATGGGGGGACCAGTCGTAGCCCCGCACGCTCTCCTCCATGTGGCTCAACGCTGGCTTGCCAGAGGCCAGCAAGGGCTGCTCCGTCTTTTTCCTGGAAAGGTCATTCTTCTTCGAGCTGGAACTTAGGAGCTTATCCAAAAACTCATCCACATCGGAAGCGAACTCCTTCTCCTCCCGCTGTCCGGGAGTGGGCAGGGATTCCAGGGTGTGCGGCCTGGACAAGGATGTATGCAGGTAGAAGTGGGCGGTGCCCACGTTGTCCCAGTACACGATGATGAGCAGGATCATGAGGACGGAACCCAGCACCAGCCACAGCCGGAAGAGCCGGGGCTTGATCATGCTGCCCTGGCCAGGGCTGGGCCCCGCAGCTGGACCCCTCACTTCAGCTTCATGGAGACATGGGGCATGGCGCTAATGGACGAACCTGGAGAGACCAGAAACACGGAGTTAGAGGCTGAGATCCAGTGAGCCGTTTCTCTCCCACCCAGAAGGCCCAGCCCTCTGCCCTCCATCCTGTCCCACCTCTATCCCACACTCAGATTCCTTTAGGGGCCTCATCAGTCACTCCAACTTCTTTGTGTGACTATGGCCAATGCCACCCACCAGGGCCAAACAATTAAGTGTGACAAGGGAGGAGAGCAGCGACAACTGAAAAAGAGGATGGTCTAAAGAAACCAGTTCAGACGCTCATCCTTGTGAAGAGAAGGCTTGAGGAAAGGAGAGGAGGGAGGGGGAATCGGAAGTCAGTCACCAGGAGGCTGCAGCTAAGTTGATAAAAATGCTAAAGATGGCCAGGCACGGTGGCACACACCTGTGAGCCCAGCAGCTTGGGAGGCTGAGACAGGGGGATCCTGAGTTTGAAGCCAGCCTCAGCAACTTAGGAGCCCTAAGCAACTCAGTGAGACCCTGTCCCTAAATCAAAAATATAAAAAGAGCTGTCCCTAAATAAAAAATATAAAAAGAGCTGGCTCAGTGGTTAAGCACCCCTGGGTTCAATCCCGGGCACCAAAAAAAAAAAAAAAAAAAAAAGGCTAAAGATAACTTCATCTAAAAACAAAAACCAAAAAAACCTGCCAAGCAGACATGGACCAAATAAACCCACCAGAGTCAGGGCCCCACTGGCTGAGTTGGGACATGCAGTGTCTCAAGAAGGCAGGACGACTTCCCTCCTCTTCATCTGTCCCTTGATGTGGAAAGGGCAGAGAATCCACTTCTTTCATGTAGATTCCTGAGTGTGGGATCTCAGGGTCATATGGTAAGCCCAGGTCAGGGGGAGGATCCCTGAGGAAGAAGGGCAGCAGTCCCACAACTGAGGCCAGGAGTATGTCCTCGGTGGACTAACGTCAGAAACATCTTTTGGGTAACAACAGTTCTATGTGAGCTAAAGACGAATGAGAAACTGCACCCACCCCCAGAGTTCATCAGGGCCATCCTGGGACTGATCTTCCAGCCCCACAAAAGCAAGTGCCACATCCCTGACCCCCCCAGTGGGCACCTGTTGGCGGGGCCAAGCAGGGAGCTGATCCTGTCTCCACCCAGGGGAGCAGATGGTGCTCTGCACCCCCAGCACAGTGCCAGTGTGGTCCTGCTGTGGAGCTGGGCCTTGACTCCACTTGGCATCAATAGGGTGGGAGGAGATGATGAGAGGCAGGACAGCTGCACTCTGATTCCTCCTTGAATTGCCACCATGGGGCCTGGTAGGGAGCTGAGCTCCACCCACTCTGACCCCCACCAGCATCAGTGGGCAGAGTGAGAGGGGTGGAGGTGGGGTGGCTGGCACTCGGCTTTCTTTACTCCTCTTCACTGGGGATGGAAAATATTAGTCATGCAACATAAATAAAAAGAAAGCAGGAGTGGCTATGTTAGTATCAGATAAAGTAAACTTCAGAAGGAAAAACGTTATTAAAGACAAAGAGAAACATTACACAATGACAGAAAGTTTGACCCACCAGGAAGACACAATAAATGTGTATGCACCAAACAACAGGGCTTCAAAACACACAAAGGAAAACTGACAGAGCTAAGGGATCTATAGACAAATCTACAATTCTAGTGGGAGACTTCAACACTCCACTCTTGCTGATGAGAGAACTACTAGACAGGAAATCCACATGGATATGACACCAGCAACCAGTAGGATCCAACTAACAGTCACAGAATGCTCCACCTGATAGCAACTGATAGCTTCCCCTCGAAGCATCCCAAAACATCATCATGGCAGACGGAACCTGAATGAACTTAAAAGAATTGAAATCATACAGAATCCTTTGGCTGTAAGGAATAAACCTAGAAATCCATAACAGAAAAGATAATTGGAAAATCTCCACACTTGGAAATTAAATGACCCCCTTCTAAATAATCCTCTGGTTGAAGAGGCCTCAAAGGAAATTGTAAAACACACACAGGACTGAATGAAAATGCCAAGGCAACGTGTCGAACTCCATGGGTTGCATGTGGAGCAGTGCCAAGAGCAGAAGCAAAGAGGGAGACTGCAGATCAATAACCCAGCTCCACCTCGAGAAGTGGGGAAGGATGAGCAAGATAAACTGGGAGCAAGCGGGAGGAACAGGGGAAAGAGCAGAAATCAGTGAATCTAGAAACAGGTAAACACAGAAAAATCAACAACAACAACAAAAAAATCAAAATTGATAAGCCTCTGGGAAGACTGACCGTGATAGAAACGGTCACCAGGAATAACCAGGAATAAGATGACACGGAGCCTGCAGGTGGAGAGGGTGGCCAGCGTGGACAACTACATGCTCACAACCCAGCAGCTTAGATGAAACGGACTGGTCCTTGAAAACCACAAACTCCCCAAAGAAACAGCCCTATTCTCATGGAAGAAAGTGAATCTGTAATTTAAAAACTCTTGAAAATGCAAGGGACCAGGTCTATTTTGGACTGGCCAAACAACTATGCATAAAAAAATTAAGGAGTTACAACAAAACAAAATATAAACAAATTGGACTTCATAAAATTAAAAACTTTTGTTCAACAAAAGATAATAATACCAATAGGATAAAAAAACACAGAATGGGAAAAATATTTGCAAATGACATATCTGATAAGGGATTAACATCTGAAATATATAAAGAACTCATAAAGCCAACAACACCCCAATTTTAAAAAGGGCAAAAGACTTAAATAGACATTTCTCTAAAGACAATATACAAATGTCCAATAAGCACACGAAAAGTGCTCAAAATCACTAGTCATCAGGGAAATGCAAATCAAAACCACAATGAGAGGGCTGGGGATGTGGCTCAAGCGGTAACACACTCGCCTGGCATGCGTGGGGCGCTGGGTTCGATCCTCAGCACCACATAAAATAAAATAAAGATGTTGTGTCCATTGAAAACTGAAAAATAAATATTAAAAAAAAAATTCTCTCTTCTCTCTCTTAAAAAAAAAAAAAAAAACCACAATGAGAGCCAGGAGTGGTAGGGTACACCTGTAATCCCTGCAACTCAGGAGGCTGAGGCAGAGGATCGCAAGGTCAAGGCCAGCCTGGGCAACTTAGGAAGGCCCTGTCTCAAAAAACATTTTTATTTTTTATTTTTTTTTTTAAAGGCTAGGGGTGTAGCTCAAAGGTAGAGCATATGCTTAGCATGTTGGAGACCCTGGTACTAGTACTGCAAAACAAAACAAAAACAAATAACAAACACAACGTACCACCTCATACCTATTAGGGTGGCAACTATCAAAAATCTGAAAACAGTAATTACTGGGACGTGGAGACACCGAGCCCACATGCTCTGCTGGTGGGATGCGAGACAGTGCAGTCCCATGGAGGACAGTATGGAGGGTCCTCAAAAAATTAAAACAGCATTAACCCATGACCCAGTCATTCCACTCTTGAGAATATATCCAGAAGAGTTGGAAGCAGGATCTTGAGGGGTTATTTGTACCCTGTGTTCACAGCAACATGATCACAACAGCTAAAGTAACACGGATGCAACCCAAGTGCCCATTCATGGGTAAATGAGTAAGCAAACCGTGGTCTCTGCATACAGTGGAATATTACTCAAGTCTTAAAAAGGAAGGAAATTCTGACACATGCTACAACATGCATGAACTTTGAGGACATTATGCCAAGGAAAATAAGAGCTACAAAGAGACACATATCATATGATTCTATTTCTATGAAGTAGTCAGAGCAGACAAACAGGTAGAGACAGAGTCTAGAAGGGTGGTGGCCAGGGGAAGGGGGAGGGGGAGGGAAGGATGTGGAGTTAGTGTTTCATGAAGCATTAGTTTTGCAAGACGAGAAGCTTCTGGAGATGGGTGTTGGATGGCTGTGCAAGGGAATGTGCTCAACTCCACGATAAAAGAAAATTAGGGGGAGAAAAAAAGAAAGAACGGGAGCTATAACAGGGCTCTTGGGTGCTGTTAAAGAAATACAGCAAAACGCAGGCCCGTGTGTTTCTGGCTGTGAGGATGTGAAGGCCACTACACGACTCCAGCGCAGGCTGAAACAGTGCCTGCCGCTGAGGCCACAACTCACCCTTGCTCCCGCGACCTGCCGGAAATCGCCGACTGACTTCCCTGCAGTCAGCTATTAAACAAACGTTTAAAGTTTTTAAAAATGTATAATATAGTGGTGTCCATGAAAACAGGGTAGGGAATGGGTCCTGTCTTGCTCCCTGAGATTCCCTTCAGACAACCAAAGCCCTGTGTGTCCACCACTCAACTCTGTGACTGGTCCAAGGCCCTGTGGCTCTGAGTCCATGTGTCACCAGACTTGCTTGGGCGCGGTCCCTCCCAGGCCTTTCACATCATGGGGACAAGCCTTCAATTCTGGCTGCAGAGGGAGTCATCGATGGGTCTGAGAAGCCACGATTCATTTTTAACATCAAGGGAAGGCCTCGTGTTGTCATTTCTAACCTCAGACAAGCCACATAAACAGCAGTTGTGGCAACAAGCCCGCTGAGGACATGGCAGCTCTCGGGCAGAGTCCTTTGAAGAGGGAACTCGGCTACTTTAAAACTCATGCAGCGCTGCGGTTCTTAGAACTGCAAGGAGCAAGAGCAAAGGAGGAAAAAAAGGGCTACCAACGAGATCGCCAAGTGTCACTTTTTATTTATCTATTTATTTTGCAGGGCTGGGAATGGAACCCGGGGCCTTGCACACTAGGTCAAGTGCTCTTGTACTTACTGAGCCTCACCCCAGCCCCAAGCAGTTCGGGCATCTGGGAACTTCTGGCCCCAGGGCCACACAGCTCCAGCCTGAAGACCAGGTAGCACTTCATTGCCTGGCGACAGAGAGACATGGCAACCATGTGGGCGCAGGTGGGCTGAGAAGCAAGGTCACGATCCAACTGCCTCAGAAACAGGAACTGCACTGACCTCAGAAAGCACTTTCCATTAAAAAAAAAATAAGGGCACTATTTCCAAAGGCAGATCTCCCAGTATTTCAAAAACACAG